ATCTATCTATCTATCTATCTATCTATCTATCTATCTATCTATCTATCTATCTTATATATTTTGTATTACTAAGCTAAGATTAAAACAAGAAATGCCCTAATCGAATCTTCTTCCATGTATTTATGTATGTATTTTATTACTAGTGTTTAAACACACACACACACACACAAGAAATCCCAATTCACTACAGAAATAGAAAAACAAAGGATAAACAAAGGATAAAGAAGAGAGGAACATAATGAATAATAATAAGCAAAACAGGAAAAATGAACCATCTGGTCATATCAAGTATGTATAAGGTATTGAACAATATACTTTATGTAGAATATATGATATTCTACCACAATAGAGAGATTTTTTTCCCCTTTCTAATTTCAAATTTCCATATAGTATAAAATACATGTTAATACTTTATTTGAGTGTCAAGAAGCTCTTAGTTTAAAAAGTCATTAGAACTCCTGGATTTCTGAACTTTATGAATTTAGGAATATCTTCGATTGCTGTTTATTTATTGTTTTGAGCTAATGGAAATGTTGTGGGAAAAAGGGAGATGGTTGCATATGACCAGCTAGTAGTACCCTATTATTCATTGGAAAGCTCACAGTAGTTTATATCAACATTTTCATTAGTTTCTTATGCAACAGTTAATACAAGATTAAATAGATTAGATTTAGATTCTAGCTACCATCACTTCTTGGAAGATATTTATTATTTATTTAGGATTAATTGTTATATTGTATTTTTAATTAATATTTACCTTTCCTGTAAAGTGCCCAGAGTTATTTTCTAATGAGATGGGCAGTGACAAATTTGATAAATAAATAAATAAATAAATAAATAAATAAATAAATAGCCAATTCCTTTTTTTATGTCAACAGCAGTGTTGCCTAACTACTTTTAGAACTTTTGTTAAAAGTTGTGGATGCTTTTGAAAAGATGTGCTGAGCCATATCCTTTATCCTGGCTGTGCTCCCAAAACATGTGAGCTCTAAACAAAAAGGACGGTATTATGTAGTCTGGATTTTGCAACATGGTAAGAAAATGGTTGCCTTCCCACAACTGAAAATATCACAAAGTGCCCAAGTATCATTTCAGTATACTCTACTCTGGAGTTTGTGTTGTCCTGTGACTTTGGTGTTCTTGTTACAGATGTTTTATTACCATGCTAGTTAACAACATCAGTACTCTGGCATGCAGAAGTAAGGTTACCAGCTCCATGTAGGATGTGTGAGTTGTTATTTTCCTTTGATTGGGATGCTATTTTCTGATCTTTATTGTTTTGATTAGATGCAGGTTCCTATTTATCTGGATGTGAATTAATAGGTCTCTGATAAAGGAGGATATGCTCTAGGTTGTTTGCCCCTTTCTTTGATTACATGGGAGGTGTGTGTATTCATGTGCATGTACACACACACACACACACACGCACATACATACACATATACATATATATTATTTGTCAGAGGCCTAAACTTTGATTAACTTAGACTGCATTCTTATACTAGGCTTGACCTAAAAGGTTTATAACTTCCCACTTAAAATGATAGTTGAAATTCTCTGACGCTCTGAAATTAATGAACTGTCATCCTGTCTTCTGACTGCTAATTGATACTGTTGATGTGTTCTGCCAATCTTCTACCTGTTTGCCATACATAGTGGTTTTCACAGTAAATGACTCTTGTTTTGTCTTCTCGGTAACTGGATTTTTGAGTTTTCCTAGGGTGCTTTGGGTTGTTGTTGTTATTGTTGTTTTGTTAGTTTGTGGTTATAGTCATGGGAAGAGGTTCTAATTACCTGTCTGGGGCTTCTGAGATGTTTTGATATATGGAAGTGTTATGGTGTTTTGTTTTGCTTTGTTTTGGTGAGTTCTGCTAGTTGTGCTGTGGATAATTAAGTGGAAAGATACTTTATATAGATTTGTGTGGGTATTTCCTGCATTGGAAAATGCTTTATAGGTAAGCAGGAACCATCACCTGTCACCACAAAAGCACCAAAAAATAGCTTGCCAATCAAAGAAGAAACATTGCCCCAATCAATACATCCTGTCCAAATCCATACAAGACTGATTGGACAAGGGACTGTATATAAGGAGTCCACACACCTCACTTCCCCATGACAGAGCACAAATGACATTAACTGGTAATAAAATATTTTGAAGAATAAAACCAATCTCAAAGAACACCAAGAACCCAACAACTCATCCCTGAGGTACATATTTTCTCAACTATTTCTACTCATCTGTGTTGTATGAGCTCAGTCTGAAAGAATCCACTTTGTTTCACACCTGGTAAGTATATTAATTCTTGGAAGGATTAAAAGCACAGGAGATAATGTCAGGTATGTGATACAATACCACAGCATGGACCACCACTGAACCAGTGGAAACATATGGGTACAATGACAGGTTACCTTTGTTCTATTGTTGAATGATTGAACAACTGCCATAGGTATAACTTTTACTAGTACTTCTTAAGCTACATTTTAGATAAACAGGTAAGATGTATATCACCTGTTATGCAGGAGAGGAAACCTCCTGTGCTTTGATAAAGCAAGACAGAACTGATTGACTATCCTCCTCAGATTCAGATATTTCCTTGTGGTATCTTTAACTGTGTGATAAGATCCATCTGTCTGTCACCACCAAACGTAGTTTCCAAGAGGGCCACACAATCAGCAAGCTATAGCAATTATGAATTAAGAAAAGTGAGGCTTATCCTATTCTGTGGGAGGAAAGTGTGGATGGGGCACTTAGGCACTGATCCTAATTGTGATAGGCACAATTGTGAAAGTGGGAAAGACAGTAAAAGGTATTAGGTTTGCATTTGACACACATGTAGATCCTCCAGACTCATGGCACTGAATTTGGACCAGCGTCCTTCTCTTTTACAGGTTATACACAATATTCTATTATCACTATATGTGGACAGGACAGATACATTGTTGCTAACAAATTTAATAATGTCTGCATAACTTTTGTCATTATACATCTCTCAATAATCCTACTTATATAAAAACTACTTACTCAGTTTTGTTTGCACAGCACACTGTACAACCTTTTCTTTGGCTCATTTCAATGCTTTACCCTCACCAGTACTAGATGGGAAGTATAGTAAGACTTAATTCACAGAGAGATGTCATCCTTGTGGTCAGAATGAACCTGAGACCCTTTTTCTGCTGTGTCACTAATTTACATGTAGATATACCTTTCCCATCCCCAAATGAAAATCCAGTCTCTAACATGGGAAAGACAGTGTGTTTCCTATTTGGAGATTGGGACCCTATTAGCCCAAGAGTTTTTTGGGGGGGAGGGGGCTTGCCATTGGCAGTAATTAAATAAATTTGATTTAGTCTTCAATCAAGTACAACATTTATTAATATTGAATGGTTATCTATCTCCACATTTATGACTTTCTGTTTCCTTTTTAGTGATGGAGAACCAAACCAAGGTGGGACAATTCATCTTGTTGGGCCTGAACAATGTTTTGGAGCTCCAGTATATAGTCTTTGCAATTTTTCTCCTGTTGTATGTGGCCACATTAGTGGGGAATGGTACTATTGTGATTGTAGCTTTAGCTGAACCTCGCCTTCACAGCCCCATGTACTTTTTCCTTGGAAATCTTTCCTGCCTTGACATCATTCACTCCACAGTAACTGTTCCAAAGATGCTGGCTGGATTTCTAACAGAGCTGCAAACCATCTCCTTCAATGGCTACATGGTCCAACTCTTCTTCTTCTACTTCATGGGTGGTACTGAAGGCATCCTCCTTGGAATCATGGCCTATGACCGCTATGTGGCAATATGCAACCCCTTGCGCTATAATCTCATCATGAGAAAAGAGATCTATGTTGTAATGGTAGCAACTGCCTGGTCTACTGGCTTTTCTCAAGCTTTGATGCATGCAGTGATGACTGCTCATCTACCCTTCTGTGGACCAAATCAAATTGAACATTTTGTCTGTGATATCAAGCCATTGTTGAAACTGGCCTGTGGCAACACACACCTCAACCTCATGATCCTCAGTATTGGGACCAGCTGTGTTGTTATGGGCCCTTTTCTCATCATACTCCTCTCCTACATCTATATTATTAGTTTCCTTCTTTTAAAAGTTCAGTCCCGAAGTGGTTGGCAAAAAGCCCTCTCCACCTGTGGATCCCACCTGACTGTGGTGGCTTTACTCTATGTTCCTGTGTTGTTTAATTCCATGCTTCCTACAATGGGTACCCCATCACAACGAGATGTGATAATAACTGTCCTTTATAGTGCAATTACCCCAGTTTTGAACCCACTTATCTATACATTGAGAAATCAGGAGGTTAAAATAGCAATAAAAAAGAATTTTGGGAAAAAAAATACAATTTGGTGAAAGGACATGCTGGAAAAATAACCCATAGTGATAGTCATGGTTCACTAATAGAAACAGAATATGAATTGTTCCCATTATTAGAATTCTTCTTTTTTTTTTTGTATATTTATTTTATTCATCTGATAGATTGAGGCCACTTTTTTTGTTCACCTTATATGTGGCTGTCCCTTTATTTTATACTTGTAATCATAATAGTTTGAAGTAATTTTGACTGAAAAAGGGAAGAGTGAGTTGTCCAGGGTCACCCAGTAAGCTTTCCTGGATGAGTTTTATTTATTTATCTATTTATTCTATTTGTATAGCTACCCATTTCACTTGTACATGACTTTAGGCAGCAAATAAAATAAAATAAAATAAAATAAAACACATAAAATACACAATATACAAAAAAATAAAAATAAAAGACATTGCAGGCA